AGAAAATTAAAAGGCTGAATTCGGAAAGTTAAGTTATGAGGATAACAAAAAGATTAGGTGATGAAAGATTGAATATCAGATTGGAGGGAGAGAGTATGGAGGAGGTGAACGTATTCAGATATTTGGAAGTGGACGTGTCAGCGGATGGGTCTATGAAAGATGAGGTGAATCATAGAATTGATGAGGGAAAAAGAGTGAGTGGTGCACTTAGGAGTCTGTGGAGACAAAGAACTTTGTCCTTGGAGGCAAAGAGGGGAATGTATGAGAGTATAGTTTTACAACGCTCTTATATGGGTGTGAAGCGTGGGTGATGAATGTTGCAGCGAGGAGAAGGGCAGGAGGCAGTGGAGATGTCATGTCTGAGGGCAATGTGTGTGTGTGAATATAATGCAGAGAATTCGTAGTTTGGAAGTTAGGAGGAGGTGCGGGATTACCAAAACTGTTGTCAGAGGGCTGAGGAAGGGTTGTTGAGGTGGTTCGGACATATAGAGAGAATGGAGCGAAACAGAATGACTTCAAGAGTGTATCAGTCTGTAGTGGAAGGAAGGCGGGGTAGGGGTCGGCCTAGGAAGGGTTGGAGGGAGGGGGTAAAGGAGGTTTTGTGTGCGAGGGGCTTGGACTTCCAGCAGGCATGCGTGAGCGTGTTTGATAGGAGTGAATGGAGACAAATGGTTTTTAATACTTGACGTGCTGTTGGAGTGTGAGCAAAGTAACATTTATGAAGGGATTCAGGGAAACCGGCAGGCCGGACTTGAGTCCTGGAGATGGGAAGTACAGTGCCTGCACTCTGAAGGAGGGGTGTTAATGTTGCAGTTTAAAAACTGTAGTGTAAAGCACCCTTCTGGCAAAACAGTGATGGAGTGAATGATGGTGAAAGTTTTTCTTTTTCGGGCCACCCTGCCTTGGTGGGAATCGGCCGGTGTGATAATAATAAAAATAATAATAAGTCGGCCGTCTCCCACCGAGGCAGGGTGACCAAAAAAGAAAGAAAATCCCCAAAAAGAAAATACTTTCATCATCATTCAACACTTTCACCACACTCGCACATTATCAATGTCCTATTACACATCCCTCCAAACTGCCAATATCCCAAGCACCTCCTTTACCCTTTGACTGTCGCAAGCCCCTTTCTGAAACTGTCATTCTATGTCGCAAAATTTTTGGAAAAAAAAAAACATTTTTTTTTCTTATGAAATGATAGAGAATATATTCCCGAAGGTAATGACACCAAAAGTAAAAAATTTATCGAAACTCAGGGAAAATTACACTCCACAAAGTTAGGGGTCTCGGGACTATCGATAGGCAATTTGCCGCTTTGAGCCCTGTTTTGGCCAATTCCTTTGTTCCAGTTGCCCAAATCGTAGCTATTTCTTTAGAACTCCATTTTTTCTATCAATTGAGTACAAGAAAAATTACCCAATAAAGTGGTCAAAAATTTGGAAATTTTAGAATTTCAGAAATTTAAAAAAGATCCCAATTTCAAAATAGGGTCAGAAAAAACAGTGACTTTCTTGGAACAAAAATAACATACCCTCTGTTCATTAGTACTCTCTGGCCCCTTTTTATATTACTATTGCATTTATTTTGATTTTTTATTCAAAAAAAAAATAAAAAAATTTATTTTATGAGATATGCTTATGAAAAAATGATTAATTAATTCGTGCACAGTGAAATATTAGACTTCCCATTTGACGTGTTTGGACGTGTGGTGTGTTTGCTTACTTTTGAACATTGGTAAAAATCGAACTTTTCCGCTACTTTGAGCTCATTTTAAAGTAGTTTTCATCGTGAAACTAATCAAAATCATCCCTTTCTGCTTTTTTTTTAAAAATTTACACTGAGACATGAAAAACGAGAATCAATGTAAACCCACACAAAAAAATACCCTCAAGTCGGATTTTAATCCAAAAAAACAGTTAAGTTTTTTTTTTCCTTTGCACTGTGTGCACCAGACACATTCTCCACAGGGGGCCCTACTGCTTTCCCTGCTTGTTTTAAAGCCGCTAAAATTAAATGGTTACGGGTCCCGTTTTTGTAATTAATCCTTTTCCTGGAGCCTTTATTTAAAAACAAAATTTCGTTTTTTCAAATAAATTTTCCCCCATAAGAAAAAAATGAAAATACAATTAATCCTTTCCGACCCCCAAAAGTATTAAAAAAAAAAAATTTTTTTCATGAAATATACATGTATTAATAAAAAATACAAGGGGAAAATGATGAATGAAACTTAAACGCATAACTTCCCTTTATTGGAGATTCTTCTTAGTGTATGGGATGGAGGAGGAGGAGAGAGTGGTTGTTTATTTTTGGAAGGGAATCCCCTTCCATCAAACCTCAGCACCATTTGCTTTTCTGGGGTTGTTTCTTTCTGTTTTTTAAATGCCACTAGGACCATTGAGGTCATGGAGCCCTGTCCAAAAAATAACTGTGGAGAGAGCTCTGTTTCGGATCTCTTTAACACCCCCCTAAAGGGCCCCAAGACTTTGTCACTGTACATGTTGCCAACCTGGCTTGCAACAACCTTGTTAGGGTGATGTTTCTCCATAAAGCTTTCCATCTTACCCCACATAGTAAAAATCTCTTTAATTTCTGAAGAAGGCACCTTCTTCCATCTCTCTTCCTCTTCCTCCTCTGCAGCAAGATTCTGAGCTGCGATGTGTTGCTCTTCCTGCTGAAGCTCTTGCAGCTCCTTTGTGGTGAGCTCTTCATTGTGGTCTTCCACCAATTTTTTTCCACATCCTCCAAACTCACATCCAACCCCATGGAACTCCCCAGTGCCACAATTGATTTTACAACAGACATAGGCTCATTAGGATCAGTCCCAAATCCTTCAAAATCCCTCTTGTCGACACAATCTGGCCACAATTTTCTCCAGGCCCGAGTTCAAAGTCCTGGGAGTCACTCCCTCCCAAGCCATACCTATAGGGTTATGCAATGGAGGGGTGCTGAAGTGTTCTCTCCAAAATTCCCTTAGGGTCAAGTGAGTGTCTGTGGTCAGAGTCAAGCACCTGTGAAACATTGCTTTTGTGTAGAGTTTTTTAAAGTTTGCAATAACTGCTGGTCCATGGGTTGGAGGAGAGGAGTGGTATTCGGGGGCAAGAACTTTACTGTGATGAACCCCAAAATCCTCGAAAAAATTTGGTCATCCAGTTTGGAGGATGAGCAGGTGCATTGTCCATTACTAGCAGGCACTTGAGATCCAATTTCTTTCCAGGAGATACTCCCTTCACACTAGGGCCAAACACTTCATTGAACCACTTGAAAGAAAATTTCCCTCGTGACCCCTGCCTTACTATTAGATTTCCAAAACACACACAATTTACTTTCATAACATTGTTTTTCCTGAACACTCTGAGATTTTCAGAATGGTACACTAGTAATAGCTTCACTTTGAAATCCCCACTAGCATTAGTACAAAACATAAGCGTCAGCCTGTCTTTCATAGGTTTGTGTCCTGGCATTGCCTTTTCCTCTTGTGTAATGAAAAGGTCCTCTTGGCATTTTCTTCCAAAGAGGCCTGTTTCGTCACAATTGAACACTTGTTTTAGGTTTCAGTCCTTCAGCCTTATGTACTCCTGGAATTCATGCAGATATTTTTCAGCCGCCTTGTGGTCCAAACTGGCAGCCTCGCCATGCCTTACCACACTGTGTATGCCAGTACGGTTCTTAAATCTCCCAAACCAGCCTTTGCTGGCCTTAAATTCACTCGCATCACCACTATTTGCAGGCAATTTCTTTACCAAATCTTCATGCAACTACCTAGCCTTTTCACAAATAATCGAAGTCATAAGAGTATCTCCTGCTAATTGTTTCTCATTTATCCACACCAATAATAACTTCTCAACCTCTTCCAGTACTGGTGATCTCATTTTTGTCAGCATAGTTACTCCCTTTGCAACAACAGCATCCTTTATTTCCTTTTTCTTGGCCACTATGGAACATAAGGTTGTGTAGGGTTTCTCATACATCCTGGACAGTTCGGCCACACTTGTACCACTTTCATATTGTTCGATGATGGTTTTCTTAAATTCAATCGTATTTCTCACCTTCTTTACCACAGGCTTGGCACTAGGAGCTTTCTTTGGAGCCATGGTAGCTTATTTAGTATACTTGCAAGCACTAAAATAAATGGAATATTATGAAATATTTCGCTGGAGCACGTGAGGGGACCTTCACTCACTGGTAAACAATGCCAGACTGGTTGCCGCCCCGGCTCATGCCGTGGGTATGCGTCCCGGACAAACTACGACTCGCGAGTCAACCTATGAAAAGCGAGTCCATGTTTATACGAAAATACCCCTATGATTGGCGAAATTTACGAGAATTTTACGGGAACTACGAAAAGCGGGGGACCACTGTATGTACGTCCGAAACACTGGCTCGTAAGACTTATATATATGACCAAAACAGTCAAAGGGTTAAAGTGCAAGCATTGTACTTCCCATTTCCAGAACTCAAGTCCGGCTATATAAAAATAACCGGTTTCCCTGAATCCCTTCACTAAATATTACCCTGCTCACACTCCAACAGCTCGTCAGGTCCCAAAAACCATTCATCGCCATTCATTTCTGTCTAACACGCTCGTGCACGCTTGTGGAAGTCCAAGTCCCTCGCCCACAAAACCTCCTTTACCCACCAGTCACTCTTCTTCCCTCCCGCACCCACTTTCCTGTAAAGACAAACTTCTGCCGAACACTAACACTGTATTCTTAAACTTACCCCATACATCTTCTACCCCATTGCGTGCATTCTCACTAGCCCATCTGTCCTCCAACAGTTGTTTATATCTTAACCCTAACTGCCTCTTACCCTTATGAACTTCAAATACAAAAGTCAAACTATTCTGTCATTACTCAAGCTGCAAATTTCACCCCTCCACCCCCAATCCTTAAGCTCTGCATAGAGCAAAAGGTCCCAGTAAAAGCTTGTTCTACAATGTCTTTTTTCTTCAGAATATAGATATATAAACATTATTTTGACCTAATGATTAATTTTCGCAGGATCAGCTCCGTCAGGAGAGGTCAGCAGAGAAGCGCAAGGCTCAGGACGCTCGCTCAGGCAAGGGTCGTCCAGAGACACCTACCACCAGGTCAGGCTCACTACTACTTGGGCATGTTTGAAGTGGAACATGTATCTAGAAGGATATCATGTGCCTAGATGAAGAGTGATATTAGATGGCTAGATGGAGGTAGGCCTAAATGTAACTAGACACAGAATATGGTTCTGTGTAGACTAATAACATGGAAAATTATTTTGTTAAAGTGTAATGTGAAGAATATGATTGATGAAGACTCCTGCAAGAACTTGACCAGAAAATTATTATTATTTATTACAATAGAAATTAAGTGCTAAACCCACAAGGGTCATAGAGCTAAGATTATTATATATTCATGGTGAAGCATTAAATGCTTAGGGGTCATACATTGCCTGTGGAAAAGGACGTAGTATTCATATTTGATCCAAGGATGAAGAGGAGCTAGCTCCACTTCCTTGGATCAATAGCCCTTCCCTAGCATCAACATACTAGCCCTAATGGGTTTCTTTTATGAACAGAGGTACACGAAGAAGGGCCAATTGTACCTTACTCTAAATCATGTCTCTTGACAAGGAACAATCACCAAGCAAATAAAGGGAAAGGCAAACACAAATGGGTAACTTTTTAGTACCTGTATATTCCCTTTACCAACATATTTACAATATGTACAAAATGTAATAAAGCAGCTGAATGATAATGAGCAAAAGAGCAAAGCAAGTCACTGCAGTTTATCCACGTTAAGATAGACCAGAGCTGTAAGTGTCCTCGACCAACCTTGTCACAACCTGTCTTCAGCAGGTTGTGGAAAAAACGGCAACAATTCTGACAGCGAATCATACTCGGGGCCCCTTTCCAAAATACTCCAATGTGACTGCCAGTTTGGCTGGTACAGAGGGTATGCATGAATGGAAGTGATGAATACCAAATAAATTGTAACGTACTTGGCTCATGTCAGTTTCCTTCCCTCAACATGGGTTATAATGGTTATTCCTGTGGACTGATATTTGTGTGTTGCAGGTGGGGCAGAGTGGCACCAATGACACCCATGCCTAGGGCACGTCTTGATGCCACCAGCGACCCGGAGAAGCCAGCAAACAAAAAGACTTCATCTGGTACGTCTAGCGCAGCACACTGTCGTTAACTGGCACAGACTAAGTTAAAAAAAATTAATCGAAGAATATTGAGACCATTAACATTATTCTGTACATTTGTGAAATATTGAACTCTACAAGGGTGTATACAAGTTGTCTACTTTTTTAATACAATTTTTTTTTTGTGTAACAGTGGGTTCAAGACTTAATATGGGAAGTCAGTGGACCCCCACACAAGTATAGTAATGTATTTATGGAATGCATATGCAAGTTTATGTACTATTCATATTGCCTTTTTGCTATTTTATATTCCAATATAGAATACCTTGTCTTACAGCACTGTCTCCTGAAGGTGAAAATTACCAGTCATTCCTCTGTCTGACCCTTCCCGTGGAAAGGATGAGGGCTCCTGGCCTGATGATGTTACTGATTTAGAACATTCTGAGGTATTTGATGACTCCCTCTCTGAGCCACGAAGAGCAGGGAAAGACATGTCAGGTGTAGACAGAGATACACATACAACTAAACAAGAGGGCCAGAGACATGAAAGGGACAGAGGAAAGGATGTAGAAAAGGAAAACGGAATGGAATCATCTCCAAGAAGTCCCTACTCCAGACCAAAGAATAGACGCAATTCCCATTCACATGGAACTGAAGATGAAAAAAGTTTGTCAAAGACACAAAGAGGGAGGCAAAGAACCTCTGGAAGCCAGCACAGATCTAGCAGAACATCACAGGACAGGAAACAATCTGATGAAAGTAGCCACAGGGATTCACCAACCATGTTTAAGTCTGGTCACAGAGAAAGCATCGACTCGCCAAAAGAGAGGAAGAGAAAGGGCTCTGGACCTCAGTCAAATAAAATAAAGCATAAAATGCCAGAGGAATGTGTTCAGGAGTTGAATGAAGTTCTACAGCACAAAGAGGCCAAGCAAAGGAAATCTTCAAGGTTTACAAACAAGACAGAGCCACAAAAAGTCATAGAGCCTGAGACACCGACAAAAATTGCAACACAAGCTCATCACCACCGTGAGCCCTCAATCTTAAAGATGGAAGACCTCCATAGGAATTCTCAAGGCAAGAACAACCAACAAAAGAATGGTACTCAGCCAGGCCACCATCGCAGTAGCTCTGAAGATTCTCAGAGTATGCATACCATCCCAGTTATCAAGGTAAGTGAGCTCTATTATTTAATTATTTGGTAGTCAATAAAATTGAGAAGAATGATGAAAAACAAATGCAAAAACAAACAAAAAAAATTATTATGACTACGTTTTGTTCTGTAGAGTGATATGTTGTCACAATAAAAACATTATAACTAAAACAAATAAAGGTAAGATAATAACCAAAAGCAATAAAAGCATTGTGCTTAATATAAGGTTGAGATAACAGCTTCTCTAAGCTTGTAAAATTAAGCAAACCAGAAATTAAAAGCTTCTGGTACTGGAGAAAAATACTTATTATTATTACACTCAAAACTAATTGCTAAACTGGAGAAAAGTATAGTATTTTTTTTTCTCAGTATTAAAAATAACTTAATATCCAAGGAACTGATGCTGTTCTCCAATTCTTTTAATTAAAACTGATTACCTCCCATTTCCCTGACACTGTTTGACCCCTATGTCCAAGGGATATACCCTCAGACGTGTATAACCCTGCCCCCATTTATCTTTGCACATCTCGCTACATTTATTGTATATTAAGGGCCATACATCCATTTCAGAAATGGGAGATGATGATAATTTAAAAGAAGGGGTGAATTTCTCAAATTCCTTCAATCAAGAGCCCTCACTGGCAACAGGGCAACTCCCCCTTCTCCTTGAATAATGATTAATATAGAGTTTAGGGAAGTGTGTGATTAACTTTCAAATGAATATATTTGAGAGAGATGAGAGGCTGTATGTTTTCAGAACCCCTTGATGTATTACAGAAAGAAAAGACAAACTATTTAAATTTAACTCTTTCAGGGTCCGTGCCATAGATCTACGGCTTTACGTTCAGGGTCCAAACTGTAGATCTACGCCATGAGCTCAGCTCACTCTGATAAGCTGTGAGTGGTAAATTTGGGCCTAGATACGAGAGAATACATCTATGCGGTATGTGTGCACCACACAAAACAAATCCTGCAGCACACAGTGTATAAAAAGAGAAAAAAAACAGACCGTGATTTTCGATTAAAACAGCGACTTTGCAGTGTTTTTTCGTATGTTTTTTTATAGTTGTATTTGCAATTTCTTGGTCTCATTTGATAGAATGGAAGACATATTACAGAAATAGAGATGATTGTGATTGGTTTTAGCACTGGAAATGGCTTGAAACTGAGCTCAAAGTAGCGGAAATGTTAAATTTTTGCTGATGTTCAAGAGTAAACAAACGACCTCACACGTCTAATACACGCCAGCTGGTGGGTTTAATATACATTCACAATTGTAGTGATGATATTTATAAAATTATTACAATATTGCATAACAGTAATTCTTCTATTTTTTGGTTTGAATAAAAATTCATTATGTGAATAAAAAATAAAAAATGGAATTCATTTGTAAAACCTCAAAATGTAACTAATGAACAGAGGAAATGTTAGTTTAGTGCCAGGAATACCTACATTGTTTATTCTCGACCCTATTTTGAAATTGCAATATTTTGAACTGTGTTAAATTGGCCAAATTACCAATTTCCGATCACTTTATTTTGTAGTTGAAACAGTTGATTTGGCGATTTCTTGTGCTCAATCGATAGAATAGAAGTAATACTAGTGAAATAGCTAAGAATCTGGTCGACTGGAATAATGTAATTGGCCTAAAATGGGAGTCGGTCAGCAAAATCGCTGATTCGTAAATATCGCTGACACATCAAAATTCGTGAGAGCATAATTTCGCCAATTTTCCATCAAATTTCGTACTTTTTGTTTTATTATCTTCAGAAAAAGACTCTCTACCATTTCATAAGAAAAAATAACAAAATTTAGTTTTGAAAATTCTTGGACCCTGGTGTGCACTTTGAAATTTGGCCTCTGGACCCTGAAAGGGTTAATGCCCTTTGCTGCTGTAGGAAGAGAGTAAGAATAATGGATATAAATTTTGATTTTTCATTTAGATTAGCAAGGAGGACAGCGTGGAGAGATCTCTTCAACAGGCTAAGTTAGAGAGGCAGGAAAAAATGCAAGATGATCAATGCACCTCCAGTGAGCAGCAGTCGCTGAGCACAACAGACACTGCCTCTCTTTCTCCAGCCAAAAAGAAAGACTTGGTAGAAATGCAAAATGTGGGTCAAGTTCAACCAAATGGAGCACACCAAACTCATTCCGTGCCCAAGTCTCCCCCAACAGAGACTGACCTGGATGATCCTTACTTTTTCGAGTATGATCCTACACAGACTTCTGAAACTGTAGCTCTTCTGGGAAAAAACAAGGACAAGAGTAAACAGACAGACAAAATGGATGAGCTACCTGACACACACAGTTCAGATGATGAGGCAACACTGGTAGACCAGTGAAGGTAACAGCCAAGGATCAGCATAACTAGCTTATTTATATAATAAATAATTTCAGAATTACATTGTGGTCAGAGTTTCATCTGTTGCTATTCAGATTTTTCAAGTTATGAATATTGTATTTAATAATAGAGCCTGGGAAAAGGGAGATAATCAGGTTGATAAAGAAAAGGAAGGAGTAAGAACACAAGAAAGGAGCTCTGGCAGCAGGCCTACTGGCCCATGCTAGGCAAGTCCAGCTCACACCCACTTACATGCTTGATTAACCTATTTTTAAAGTTACACAAGTTTTTTAGCTTCAATGATACTACTTGAGTGTTCCACTCATCCACAACTTTAATATCAAACCAGTGCTTTTCCTATGTACTTTCTAAATCTAAACTTTTCCAATTTGAACCCATTGCTGCAAGTCCTATCTTAGTTGGATATTTATAGCACATTTTTTACATCCCTTTATTTATTCCTGTTTTCCATTTATACACCTCAATCATATCCCCTTAATCGTACACCACACCAGACAGTGCAGATTCAGCACCCTCAGTCTATCCTCATGAAAGATTTCTGATACACGGGCTCAACTTTGTCGTCCTTCTCTGTACTTTTCCAGCTCATTTATGTCCATTCTGTAATAGTGAATAAGATGGTGCAGCATAATCTAAATGAGGCTTAACCACAATACATATATAAAGTTGAAAAATAACCTGAAGACTCCTACTATTTATACTTCTTGATAGGAAGCCAAGAATTATATTTCCACTGCTAACACTTACACACTGCTGTCTTGGCTTTACTGATAACCAGAACTCCTAAATCTCTTGCATTCAGTGATTAAATCTACATTTAGTTAAGTGCCATGGTTTTCTTCTTTTCCAAGGCTTAGAACTTTGTACTGCACTGTATAACCCTTGCGGGTAGCGCTTTTTTTGATCATAACAATAATGAGAACTTTGTATTTGTCTAAATTAAACTGCATCAGTCTAGAGTGCTACAGCACTTGTATCCTTTAGATCATGAGCCCTTTACCTTAGTCACTAATGAGTCAGATTTCTCTTACCAACTACTCACAAGTGAAGAATAAAACAAATATATACAGTACAATATGTATAATGTATCAATGGTTATTCTTGATGTGATGTGCTTGTACGACAAGACAATACCAATAATTGGTAGATATTTACTTGCCATATGACCAGTTGAGTGAGGTCAACCTGCTTGCACTTTTTAAATCTTAACACAATTGTGGAGAAAAGATGTTTGCAGAACATGCATTAGTTAGGACTGCATCCACTTTCCCTAGGTTTATCATGGCTCAGGGCGAGTACAGTGGACCCCCGGTTTACGATATTATTTCATTCCAGAAGTATGTTCAGGTGCCATTACTGAAAGAATTTGTTCCCATAAGGAATATTGTGAATTAGATTAGTCCATTTCAGACCCCCAAACATACACGTACAAATGCACTTACATAAATACACTTACATAATTGGTCGCATTGGGAGGTGATCGTAAACCGGGGGTCCACTGTATATATGATGTTGGGTGTATAGTGTACTTTGAACTCTTCTTCCCTCCCCCTTCCCCCGCCCCCTTTTTTGTTTTAAGTATCCTGTTGGTCGAGATTAAATTTTGGTCCTCTAGATACCTAATAACTGAGGCACCCTTACCAGATCTTACTACACCCACAGACCTTCCTCAGGATCCAGTATCACTCTTGGACAACTGCTTGGTGCCCAAACCAGCTTTTGGTATTCAGTTTAATCATTATGGTACCTCTGACCTTCACTTTACCTTGACCTTTAACTTAGCTTCTCCCACATTGCTTCAGCAATTTTCAGTTCTTCTGAGTGTCCAATAGCAGACCAACAAACTGACCCATATCTATTGAGCTCGTCAAGACATCCCCCTCCATCTGGAAACCTCTTCCACTTCGGGATACCTATAAACATCAGTCATGGGAAAAAAATTGCACTTGATTCCACCATACCTAACGTGTATATCAATGACCATCACATTGTACAAGAACTTTTATCTTTCACAGGACAAGATGACGATATGTGATTAAAAA